AAACCAAACCAAAACAAAACAAAAAACAAAAAAACAAACCAAACAAAACAAAAAAAACCCAACAACAGATTCAGATTGAACCAAAATTAGGTTCTTTATCTCAGGTTTTTCCAGCACAAAAAAAAATATTAATGTTTTGTTGACATTTTGGTCAACATGTTTATTTTAACACAAAACGAACAGTGTTTGTTTTATTCCCATGTTACTTAACCACTTTAATTCAGCATTTTTAGATAAAAATTGTTTGAAAACAAGAAATATCAACTTAGTTACTAAAACATTAAAACAAATGCTTCGGCTTAACATCAAGAGGTTTAGCTGCTTCCACACACATTTTTATGCTTTTTTTTCAGCTGACAATACTCGTTAAAGCTCAACCCGTATTTGTTAGCGACCTTCTCCCCTCAAACTCTTGCTTTCTGTTAACTTAATCTAGAAAACATTCCCTCTGATGGACCTGCAGCACCTCATTGATTGCACTGGGACATGAATGCCACCATCAGAAATTGTACTTACCAAAAGGATGAGAAACTGACATTTTCCTGAGACCTGGGATGCTAACTTGGGAAGCTATTTTTGGTAGGTTATACGGCTTTTTTTTCTCTGGGAAGCTGTGACAGCATCCATGATACTTACTTTTATAATGCCTTGGGTGGAAATCAGAACCATGGCAGCAAAACGCTCAGGAACAACTCGTACATCTTAATGCACATACATAAGTATGTGTAACAATGAGAACAGGCTTTCATCAGCTTGGCCTCAACATCAGACAGCTGTTCATGTCAACCTAAATGGGCTGTAGTCAGTTCCCACAAAGGACAACTGAAAGTCTTATAAACCATATCAAAATGGGGACTGCTCAATTTTCAGATACATGCATCAGGGAACCATTTCACAGGGTAACACTTGACTGATATTTTAATTCTTCACAGCACCAAAGGGGCCCAACAATCCCTCACCATCCCCAAAACCAAAAGGCAATTTGTGAAGAGCAGCTTCCTGCTGCCCACACTGGACTGTAAATGTAGCTGTAGAAGACTTGTAACAAATAACGAGCTCATTTATGGTTTAGAAGAGACATTGAGGTCCTTCCCCTCAACTGCTAAGTTAATAGGCTTCCACCACATTTTTTTTTTTAAAACTCCAACAGAGCCTGGAAGTGGATGTTCCTAGAATTAAACCAAAACTTTAACTTACTGAGCACTGCATGGCAAAGCTAAACAACCACTGAGCCAAACTGCAATATGCAAGTATTAAAAGCTAAATTATATTAGCTGCTAGCTGCTATCACAGTGACCCATATCCTAGGGCTTCAAACTGCATCTCTGCCACAGTCCTCCTAGAGCAGGTTTTTTTGCCAAGCTTTTATATGTGCCACTGTCCAATAAAATAAAGCAGCCTTGTGCCCGTGTGAGCAAGATTAGGAAGCAGAACTGACTTATCTCAAGTCTCCTACGAGCCAGGGGCAATGAACGCAACTCCAGGAAATGAAAAACTGAACCAAGAGTGAATGTTCAAAAGAAAATAAAAAAATTCACACTACAAGCCTGTTTTCTTTGTACCGGACAAGTCTCCAGGTGTCTGACTTACTGGTAACTAGATTTACTGAAATGCGTCAGTCATGTTCCTAATATCAGCACTCCAGCCTCCAGAAGGTGGACATGTCAGAAGGGGTCAGGTTCCCCACGGGGCTTCCTGAGCCAAGTGCCGATGGAAGGAAAGGGCTGTCCAGCTGGTGATGTAGAGTTGCTTCCTGAGCCCAGTGCCGATGGAAGGAAAGGGCTGTCCAGCAGAGCTGGCTGGGCCAGTGCAGGAGAAGATGCTTTGGCAAACGTCATTACTGTAAGACGCAGTTCTCTCTCTTCTGCATAACCCCAGTAATGGAAAAAGCATCCAGACACTGAAGAGGTAAAAGCAAAATGCAGCAAAAATGACTATAACAAGCTTTTGTGCTATCTTCCTTGCTGACTGACCAGAGACTAATTGTGGAAAGAGGAACAGTTGAGTTCAGGAACAATATTCTGACACTTCCCTACCAGAGGGGAAGCTCAGGAGAGCACCAACAGACCCACATTGCTGCGTGCAGCGAGGAGAAGAGGGAAGCCTTCTGCAGGCCTGCCCTGCAGAGCCAGCCAGATGGCAACAGCAGGCTTAGGCCACACGCAAACTGACACATTACTGCGTAGAAGTCAGGCAGCTGGAGAAGCAAGGCTGAGCGTGAAGATCAGACACCCACTAGCCACCCCAGCAGCACAGGCATCTTGCTGCGTCACAGACCTCAGTTTGGCAGCGACCACCCCACCACAGGCTGCCCCTGGGTCTCCCAGGGAAGTGCAAGGGCAGGGGAAAGCCCTGCAGAGCCTGTAGGCACGGGCAGGCTCCACAGCCACGTCCCCACGCAGCTCTCCCATCACCATGGGGAACAGCCTCCACACTCCAGCATCCCCCCACTGCCCAACTCCAAGATGCCGCCAGGCCAACCCCTCCTGGGCTGTCTGGCTGTCCCCTCCCATGAGCGACAGCTTCGTGGAGGGCATGTGCTTTCCATTCCGAACAAACACACGCTATGCATATCAGACGTAAAAGGCTTTATTATCCCATGGATTTTTCCTAAGAAGTAAGAATCCTACCAGACAAAATATACAAAGCATCTTATGTTTTCTTTCTAGACAACTGCATTCTTATCCTATGAAACAGTGAGCACATTAGTTCACCTTAAAGAACCAAGGTTTGTCCTTACGGCTGTGGGATTGCACAAAGTTAGCGTATTCAATGACCAGTTAATTCATGCAGAATCAGAAGGAAGGGGAAAAAGGTCTGTATGCTCACCTGAGTGCAGGCTTAGCTTCCTAGAAACAAAGAGAAACGCTGGGCTTAAATTTACCAGTTTGTGGCACTTCCATTAAGTGAACTGTCTTGGTGTCAGGACCACCACCACCACGTGGTCGCAACACCGCCTCCCCCCCCCACTCCTCTCCCGGTAAGATGGGGGCAAATAAGAAAAAGTGGAACCTCCTGAGTTGAGATAACGACAGATTTTTAATAATACCACACGAGGAAAGCAAAAGAAAGAAGAATATAACAATAAGACAAGATATAGAGTACAATGGAAACACTGATACAATGAAAATCTCACCACCACGAGCTTCACAAAAGAGACCCCTCTCCCGGCTAGCTTCCCCTTATATCCCGGGCATGACGTCAGCATGGTATCGAATATCCGGCTATGCCCAACTCCCAGCTTCTGCGAAGAATTAACCCTATCCCAGCTGGACCCAGGACAGAACCAATTCTCTGACCCACTTCTCGACACCCACTCTGCAATGGTGGAGGCTAGCAACAAGTTATTGTTGGACAAACACACTGCGAGAAAAGCAAATACCCCTGGCAGTGGGAAACTTTCCTTATCAACCTGCATGAAGTGCACATAATTCTTCATTTTACATCAAGCTTAAAGCAGAATGAAACCAAAGTGTCCTCCTCTACTTGTTAACACTTAATGTTTATAGTTGACTATGTTTATACAAAAAAATAAATTCTCAGCCTCTCAGGACATACTAATTCCTATTGCATTACACAACCATTTTGAGATCCCGCTTTGTTTTCACTTAATTAACTTGCAGTGTTATTCCTTAAAAGTTTTATTTTAAACTATATTCATGTTTTTTTGGTTCTGCTGAGCTAATGATTGTACTTGCATTTACTTTATCCTTCCTCTTCTAAAACAACAAGCTCATTTCAACAGATGGTGAACAAGTCCAGATTTGCTGGAAACCAATTAACAAGAATGTGCCAAGTTGAAACTCACTCCCTTCTTTCAAGCCAAAAAGCTGCCTGCATTTCAAGAACCTAATTAGTTTCAACTATATTTATGGAACAGAGGGAAGAAGATTTAATTACTCTGCAATTCTTCTGTCTCATGATCAATAGAAATGCAGTTTTGTTCACACAACTTCTCTGCAGTAATTGATCAGCTGCATCTTGCCCTGTATCAATATCTGTACTACAATGGTGCCTGCAGATAACATGATATATGGCTGGACTACAGCAATTACTACCAAAACAGCTTTCATCGGAGGAGTAATACAAGAATACACACTCTGTTAAAAAAAAAATAAATTAAAAAAACCTGCTTCTGCACTTCCCAGTAACCACCAGTTCTGCTGCTGACACCACTTGGTACGTAGGCATGGCACCCCATCTGCACACAGATGGGATCTCAATAACTCAGGAAGACAGACCCGTGTGAACATAACTCATCTTCCCAAGCAAGCAGAGTTGGCCAGGACAGACACGGGGCTGGAGGAAACCAGCCAGCTCCACCCGCAGCCACGGCCTATAGACGGGACACGAGTGGAGCTGTGGCACTCTGCATCAAAGCTTCACCTCTTTATTTACTTGGGCAAAGTGACAGCAGATCTGCCCAGGATCCACAGCAGCTGCAACTGTGTGTTAGAAAAATATCGCTACACAGCCTTGCACTTCATCCTCTGCTTTGTGGCAGGGGAGCAAGGACATGCTGTGTCATTTGTGTCATTCCCAGCCCACCTCCTTGCCCTGGCCTCCTGCCCAACCCGAACACCCCTCCGACACCCTGCATTGCTCAGTGGGGCACACTGAGCCATGCGCGTTCAGGAGCAGACACGGTGAGGGGTGAGTCCAGGAGCCAGCCATGAACACAACACATAGTGGTTGCTTTCAGTGTTTGAAAATCTAGTCTTCAGCACACAGCAAGCTGGCATCACCACAGCATGGTCTGTCCAGAAATCCTCCCTCTGCTGAGCTTTCTGAATCACCCTGTCTGTATCCTCACAACTATTCCTTTCCTAAGTGCATCTGGTTACATATTTCTGGTCCTTACATCAATAGCAAAATGGTGACCCTCCTTTTGTGCATACACCTTCTGTCCCGGTGCCAAGGCAGCCTGGAACTGCTTCCCCAGGAAAACAGCACCTATTTCCAGCACTCCTATTTCCTGACCACCCCTTCTACTCCAAACCTGCTCCCCAAAGAGATTCCCGTCCTGTGGTGTGGAAGAAGCTGCATCTACTCCCAAGTTATCTTTGACCACTGTGTAAATTTAAGCCCAGGAAATGCCTCAGGTATGTAGCAGGGAGAAAAGAGAATCCACTGTGAGGCCACAATGGACCCAAGATGTTAGAGCTGCACAAGCAGGGGAGGGAGTAAAAAAAAGACAGATTACCATGTCTAAAGGAGCAGACTGAGAGCATGTGTGTGCATGTGTACACAAGCAAAGCCAAGGAAGGTTACATCTGGAGAGTGGCTTCATGACTTTTTGCAGATAACAGTTTCAACCACAAAAGTGTTCTCAAAGTGACGAATACGATGACAGTTTCCAGCCTCGCGTCGACTGATACCTAGAAGGGATTGAAAGAGAGGAGAGGGGAAATTCAACAAATGAAAATCTGTAAGATATGCAGCAAGTAGGGGAAGAAAAGCAAATGAAATGCAACCACTGAACACTGAAATGCAGGAACAACCCAGTCCATATGCAAAGCAGCACAATCTGGTCTCTGAACGAGCAGCCATATTCTCTAGGCCACAGTCCTGCAGTCAGAGATGCCACAAGCTGCCTGGAAACAGCTGGTTTTAGCTGACAGCTTCTCAGTGTTATTTGAGAGACCAGAAAGCCTTGTGAAACTGGCAGAAATATAGGCTGGTACAGAGCACAGCTCCAAATGCAGCCAAGGAGGGTCTAAAATAGCCACCCCTCTGGCTGTTCACATCCCCGCATGCACCGGTCCTGCCACAGCCTCAGCCTCTCTGGGAAACACTAATGCTCCTCATGCCCTCAAACTGCAGGAGCCCGCTCTGGGCAGCTACTCTCCTTTTAGCCCGGGGGGGCCCTGCTGCCAAACAGGACTGTGCCAGGGCTCCACGAGAGCGGCAGCCAGCGTTCCAGCAGCCCTGGGCACAGCTGTGCAGCTCCCGCTGGGAAAGCAACCATGAGCTACAGCCACAGTGACTTCTGCACCCAAACGCTCTTAGCACCCTGCAGCTTCCCCAAAGATCCAAACCCAAACTGACTATAGGTTCACGTTTCAGGTGAGCCCTTAAGTACACCAGCATCTAAAATCAAATAAATACGAATATCAAAAGTAAATTTTTTTTTTGTATATAAGATGCATATTACTGATTTTCTTGAAATAAGGTACTCCAATGTTCCCTCTTCACAACTTTTTCCATTTATTAAGAACTTAACTAATTAAAGGCAATTTGCCAATCTAATCCGCTCTGAATAGCTGCCACTGAAGCGGGTGTCTCCATTAGGGAAATTTTCCAACCAGTTCCCAACAGCACTGCTATTAGTTCAACCCCGGGAGCCTGCATGTCAATGAATTGCTGACTCCTGCCACCATTTTCTTAATGTTTCTATTAGGCTGACAGATGACAGATACACAGCAGCCAGCATCCATTTGCAGCAGCATCATCCCAGATTTGGGTTTAGGTGAATTAGATGGGAAACACCTCAAAGGATGTCCTGTGCACTTACTCCCACAGGGAAACCTCCCCTCTCACTGTGAAGAGGCCAGCATGGCTGTAACAGCAGAAATAATGACTGCAGGGCAGGGGGAAAGCATGTTAGGACAGCTGAACACGGCGAGGCTCTTACGTCTCCTGGCGCTCCTCCGCTTCAGCCTGTAGGTCTCTTTGCCTCTGCAGAGGCGGTAGATAAAGGAGCCGAGCTGTTCCATGTCACTGACGTGCTCGGTCGCGATCATTTCCTCTTGGATTATGTACGTCTGAGGCAGGTACGTCCCTTTCTGAAATGACACAGAAATAAAGCACAAACGGTGCCACGATCTCCTCCTCGAACAGAACTGTCTTATGCAGAGCACCAAGAACAGCCAAACTGTGGAAAATTCACTGTTTGAAGGCTCAAACTCCACTTACCAAGGCTGGTTAACATGCTTCCCTGTCCTTGCAGTAAACTGTCCCATGCTACTAGTGCAGGGCACACAAAATGGATTAGATCCAAAAATGGAATTTTCATGTAGGGGATGAAGCCAGGGTAGGATCAACCCTGTTATAAACTATCTCCAGTTTTAAAGGAGAGCGTCTGAAGCTGTAACTCTGAGAGCACAATGAACCCATCTGGAGAGGGATCAAGGCTCAACCAAAATGCCAGGAACTCCACTGAAAATGTGCATTTTACATTTACTTCAAAAGGCAAAAACCAAAAACGCCAGCCCTGCTCAGATTCCAACAGTTTCCTGAGGTTTCCACATTTCCCTCTCCTCCTCGGTTCATGCAGCACAGCCACAATAATCTCCTGCCCTTATAGCCCACAGGAATGGGGACTACAGACGGGCCGTGGGCACCACATTTAGAAACACCGCCCTGCACAGCAGTGGTGGGCACGCTGCAGAACACGGGCTCTCAGCACACTTCCATCACCGCAGGGACATCATCCAGTGACTCTGGGGCAGTGCAGGAAGGCAGCTCACACCAGGGACCAACCTGAGGCAAAGCAGCAGACAGGAGCTCCCTGCTGCTGGGGTGCAGGCCACTATGAAGACCAGGGTGATGAGTGTGGTGCCTGGTGGGGGGACATGGCACAAAGTCACCAGGGGCTAGAAAAAATGGGGAGAGAGAAAACAGGAGACCTCGAAGCACCCCAGGGATGGAGACAGCCTCTGTACCTGCAGGAAAGAGACCTTCTCGGCAACGAGGACTCTCTGCAAGCTGATCCCCGGATGCTCAGGGCATCTCACAGCTGTCTGGGCATCTCTGCAGCAATAAGCAGCTGTGCTACAAGGACAGCCTGGGCTGGGGGACACTTCTGAGCAGACTACATGTGAACTAGGCCATGAAGCAAAGACTTACTTCTGGTCCCTTTTGCTTAAGAACAGTCAAAGAAATAAAAGAACCAACAGTTCCCAGGGCCAATATAAATATAATCAGGGAGGAAAACAACGCACAACAGTACAATTTCCAATACCACCTCTTCAGCTTCCCCCACAGGACAGGTTATCTCCACAGAGATGTACCTGGAAACACGCTGTCTTAACTCAGCGCTGTGCTGCTGGGCTGGCACAGCTGACTAGATCGATAAAGCTCTCTGCTAATGCTGGAGGAGTAGACTATTAGTGGAAGTTTGTACTACACTAACACAAGAGTTCTGCAAAAAATTCAATTACCAATTCTCAGTGGGAGAGTGCAGGAGAGGGCAGGTGATACGTGCAGTTGCTGGCAGGAGCTGCCACGTTAACACCTGGGGCTGGGGCTCAGGATTTGCCATATCCGCAACACAGTGACAGGGCTTAAAGAGCAACACGTGCACAATCCAATTTCTTCACTGTTTTAGATTTAAATAGATCTGGTAGCTGAAGCAGTCAGGAATCATTGCTCCTCCGCTGCAGGACTGTGCAACAATACCTTCAATTCTCTGCCAAGAGTTTTAAGAAAACTAGAGCACTGAGCACTTGGGTTCTGCAAAAGATGTGGATTGTCTGCCATTTAACTGGGTCATCTCCAACCTCCTGCTGCTGCAAGGGGTGGGGGGGGGCATCCCTCCACCCTGTTCTCTCAGATACTTACACAGCTCTGTTCACCAAACTTTTACTTTTACTACACCGAATAAAGTCTGCAAGAAAAATCAGACACAAGAGGCCTGGTAACACACACATGGCAACAGCAGTGCCCAGACCAGAGCGGGGTCTGGCACAGCCAGAGCAGGCACAGGGCACACAGCAACCACGCTGCAAAGGGACACCCCGGCACCAGGCTGGCCAGGGAGGAAAGAGCAAAGGAGCTGCACTCAATCCCTGTGCTGCCACAGTCTGCTGGCAGCACAAGCAGCTAATGTTATTTGCTGGACTGAGGTTTGGTCCTAGAAACAAGATGAAGCCACTGAACATCTTCAAAACTAAACTTTCAGCTGGAAACTAGTCTCATTCACTAGGGACTTGACCGGAGTCAGAGGAGCGGAGAAGGCAGAAGGAGGCACAAGAGGAGCAAGGCAAAAGTCCTCAAGTCCAAGGACCGACGCAGCTCATTCAGCATCCAAACGGGAGCACTCCAGAGCAGGGGGCTGTCATCAGGTGATGAAGGTCCCCCACAGTGGGGAGAAATCTGGCCTCTATGCCTGACACAGGCCACCAGCAAGGCTGCGCCTGCGGACACAAGGATCACAGGCTCACAGGATAATTAAGCTGGGGAGGGACCTCAGAAGGTCTCTGGTCACACCTCCTACTCAAAGCAGTGGCAGCTACAAGATCAGACCAGGTTCCTCATAGCTTTATCCAGTCTGGTCTTGAAAACCTTCAAGGATTTCAAGGAGGCAGCACAACCTCCCTGGGCAACCTGTTCCACCGCTTCTGTCCTCATGGCAAAAAAACTTTTCTGAGCTTAAGACCAAGATAAACACTTAAAACCAATGTCTCTAAGGTGCATGTTAAAACCTCCAGAGACAGATTGGACTCTTACCCATCCCAATAATCAGAAAGTTATTTAAACCTCTGCTTTGTACTCTCTTTAAAGAATCAAATATGTAAGACCATTTAAATTCTATTTTTATCCCCTTTTAAATTCAATTTCTGATAAAGAGGAAGCATCATTTTCATTGACTATTATTGTATATCTCTTATTTTAGGATGCAATCAGCATTCCCAATCTCAGATTTTTTGGGGGGCTCTGCTGTCAGCTTGTGCAATCCTGCCTTCTCCATTTCCCTCTGCACCAGGGACTGGTCACCTGCCATGGTGAGAAGCTGTGGCTGGGTTGGGGCGAGATGTAAGTACACATGTGCTGTACCCCAGCAGGATTCCCAAAACATTTGCCAGATGGTCACAGTGCATGAGATTGCAAGGACGGCCAGGAAACTGGGAGTTTGACAAGGACTAGAGATCAGGCATCTCTCAAGGCACAACATTTTGCCTCTGAGCTTAACCCCTACAAAGTTCATCACACTACGTGTAGCAGCAAGCAAGCAAAGGGGATTTAAGAAAGAATTAGATTTTTTAAAAATTTATTTTCTTTTAAACAGACTGTCACAGAAGAGAGTAAGAGACGCAGGCTCAGTACTTTGCTTTACCTGCAAAACACTAAGATAGATTGGCATCTTCTGCAGTCATAAAAATCCTGGGTTTTTTTTCCTGCTGCTAATATTAAATAGCACTCTATTTTAAGATTAACTTTTTCAGTCTCTGCAACAGCGGCATGGGCTTCTGAACTGAACAGACCTGCTGCTACTAAACCCAATTAACACCTGCTGTGAGCAAAACTGCATAAGCCCAAGTCTGGTATTGCAACCCACACCACAGCTGGGAGGGCAGCACAGATTCCCTCCCAAAAGGGTAAAAGCTGAAAGCCTGGTACTCCCCAAGGGACACTGAGCTCTGCAAATGCCAAACCGCAGTGGTAACCACAGCAAGAGTGGAAGGAGGGATTTTTTTTCTTTTCTTCCTTGATTTCTGCTATCAGTAAACACCAGAGGGAAGGCATCTGCTGCTTCTCTGTGTCACCCTGGTCAGGCTGATCCGTTATGCCAGTGTTACTGTGCTGTCTACAAAATTAATATTTCAGCTAAACGTCCTTTCAGCTAAACTTCAGCTCTGCCAGGGCTAAGGCTTACCTCCACAGACAGAGCAGTTTTGGTTTCCCATGATCTTCCAGCTGGCACACAGAAGCCAACTCAAGAAGCAAAGCATGCAAAATAAGGGGGATTGCAGCTGTACCTTCACATTAACCAGCAGCTCCCACAGGTTGCGAGGAGGCATCACAATAGTGGTGTTCAGCTCGATGACGTAGCACTTATCCAGCGTTATGTCATGATAAGCGGTCAGACCCTGCATTCCAAGCAGAGAAATTAAGAAATTGAGCCCTTCGCAATGAAACGTGGCTGTGAAGATGGGTGAAAAGACGGAATTCAGAGAAGACCGAAAACTGTTTTAAGCAACAAACCTGTCCAAGGACCTACCTATCAAGCAAGACAAGCAGGTTGGTAAAATTTCAAAGAGGGCCTTGGGAAAGAGGGCAGCTCAGTAACAAGATCATCATAGACATATGTGACAACAGTGACAGTGCTAGGCCATAAGCACTGTGTCGGTGCACCCCAGCTCAGCACCGTGCTATGCGCCCAAAGCCCCAAGAGCTCCTTACTCGCTGGAAATCATGGATGATATCTGCAGGGTCGCTCCCTCCAAACTGAGGCACTGGGACATTGATCTGCTCGTAGTTCTCCTCAATGAAAATCTTGACATCTTCGTGCAGCTCCATCTGTCCTTTGAACGGCGAATACAGTGAGTCTTCATAAAGGACGCCGCAGTGAAACACGCTCTCGCGGGGCAGCTGCTGGGACGAGATCCAGGCAGAGGTTCAACACTCATACACCCCACTAACGACCACAGCAAACACAAGAAATACACCCATACTGGGTAAAAACACCCTTTTCAAACAGGCGGTTGAGAATATTTCAAGATCAATCTTTTTAACCAGAAACTCTTCATGATGAAGGTAGTGCAAAGCACTCCTCTGAAATGACCATGTCTCCATTCCAGCTAGCCAGGTCCAAAGCGAATAAAGGACTCCCTGTGGGACTGCAGAAGGGGTAACTCAGAAAGGCAAACTGACTGCCTGTGGACTCTTAAATTTCATAACCAGGCTGCTGACATCCCTCCATAGACACAGCTTCAGTAACTCCATTTTTCTACATATGGCATATAGGCTTAGGGCGAGCAGAGCATAATTTCTAAAGGCACTTGCAGCTTGTCTATGGCAAATTAATTAACCAAAACAAAGCCTCACTATAAAACAGGAGCTGCTGCTCTCCAAGGCTCCAGAAGCACAAGCTACAGGAGAGAGAGCTAACACAGACAAACTGCAGCCATTGGAGATGGAGACAGGAAGGCCCCATTGCCCCGGTCCCCTGAGCGTTTCTGACCATGTTGAACGGGCTTTGCTGTATAAGCTGCCATTTGGAATCTACACTAACACAGCGGCGTGTGGGAGGGTTGAGCAGCCCTACGGTTGTCACAGGGTTTCCAGATCAGGTATAAATGAGCACAGGTAATAAAGCACTGATGTATCTTAAAACAAAGATTGCAAATTAATTTGACAGCAAGAGAAATTATGGAGCAAGAGAGTGTATAAAAAGATTATACTGCTGAGTGGATAAGTGCTGGCTGCAGAAATGAAGGCAGCGGCAGTCCTGGGAGAACTCATTCACTAATAGCTGCTCCACAGCAGAACGAGGGCTTCAGTGAAAACCGTTGCTCTGGGGTTTCTTGGCTAAACACTCAGCAAGCCACAGAGCTCAGCAGTTTCCTCCTTAAAACGCAGCTCTGCCTTGGCGCATTCCCTATACTCAGACCCACCTCAACGCTGCCAGCCCAGTGCCTCAGCTAGGCCAGGCTTTGCAAAGACTACATGGAAGAAAAGGTGCTGAATTTAATAGAGTCAAGGGCTCACCTTCTATATCATCTCTTACTCACTTTTCACTTCTTTGCTTGTTTTATTAATAGCAGCACCTATTTTTGTTACACCTACAGGATTTTGCTTGCTCTCCCCTCACAAGCCGCCACACTTTCAGACTGCTTTACCCCTGACAGCAGTAACATTAGGTTTAAAAGGCAGAACTGTAAGGATACTTCTATGGAGTTAAAGAAAGAAAACAAGGTAAAACAAAGCCCCAAGGGAGAGGAAGAAGAGGTTTCTGGAAGGCCCTTCCTGGCGCTCAGGATGGAGGTGAACCTGAGCCTCCCACTTAAGACATGCCTCATCTGTATAGCCCAGAGGACTGGCTCCTGAGTTACTGCAATGCAAAGCCATAAATAACTGCACCACCTCTTTCAAAGGCTGAAGCATTTTGTCTGTCTGCTCTGGCCAAAGAGCCAGCAGTCCTTCCCGACTCGCCCCTACCTGGGTGATGAAGAAGTATCTGTACACATACATCGATGCAAAGACCAACCCCAGGAGCAGCACGAGGAGACCCATGGTCAGGTAGCACACCCCGCTGAGCGATGACCTCTGGCCCTGCACCGCGGGAGCTGGCTCCTCCTGCGAGACAAAAATGAGAGCATCAGTCAGCTGCTGCTGCAAGGGATCAGAAAAGCAACTAGATTTTATGCAAAGGCTGTGCATGCGTTTGTGGTGTGTGACTGAAGGCGGCAGGCGCTGTCCTGCAAAGAGACTTCACACCCAGTGGCGTTCTGGCAAGACTAAAACACTTCTTGTGCATTTTCCTCTCCCACCCCAAAAATATATATTTTAATATATATATGTGTGTGAACATACACATATATATGTATACCCTGCTTCCCAGCAACTGCTCAGAACAAAATCAAACTTTGTTTCAGTGGACGGTAAGGATCAACCGAAAAAAAGGAAATCAGGAACTAACAGTTCCTGACTACTGAACGTAACAGCATTTATGTATTTATACTCAAAAAAATTTTCTTGAAATGCTGCCACTCTTGCAGCATTTTTCAGAGGAAATTTTTGAGGTGGACATTACTGGTCTCAGAGTGGTACCTCCTGGTGATGCTGGGGTGAGCCTACCCAAACAGCTACATTGATCTCAACTTCATTTTCAAGCAGACTCCTGCATGCCTTCCAGGAACATGGCCAGAGCATCAAAAGAACACATATCTGCCTTTCGCAGAGTGCTGCCCAATCTTTGTAGACAGGAGCCAGCTCACCTCATGACAGCCCTTGAAAAGGAGGGCAGGGCAAAACAGGGTCACCTCCTGGGGACCGCTCATCCCAGCCCACCATGCTTTTGTTTTATTACCAAAATAACCCTCCACACTCTTAAGCAGGAAGATGTAAGGCCTTTCAGAAGGGGATGACAGAAGCTGGTTCAGAGATGCCCCAGTTTTCACACAGAAGAGATGAAAGCTGCCCTCAGCTGAGCAGGCGGGGGGAGATGCGGCAGGGAGAGCTCCTGCAGATCAGCTCCCTCTCCATGGTGTTCGATTAGGAAGACACTCTCTCCACGGCTAGCCAGAGACCTGTACAAGCTGGAAGAACAGATTCAACAGGTCTCTCCTGCCCCTGAGGTAAGGGCACCCAGCATCCCTGGAACATCCACGGGGAGCCTGCCAGGCAGGGATCCCCCCACCTCCCCAGCACCTGAGCTCCATCGAGGAGCAGAACAAGGGCAGAGCCAGGATCCGGCATCCCCTCTGCCACCTGCTCTGCCCCCAGCCCACGCGGACTGCTCCAGTTATCAAGAGTTTCTTTTCTAGCCACATTCAGACTGATAACTGCAAAGACCAAATTGCTTTGGGAGAGCTACATTTCCAGCACACCTCCAGGAGAAATTAATCTATACTTATTTGTCCTTCCTCCCAGCTGCTGAAAGATCCACAGCACCTCTATTCAGCACCACCTCCCTATGCTGAAGGAGCCGTGTTTAATCCGTTTGTAACTGCTCCTCCAGCAAATAAAGGGACAAGCAAACAGACAAATGCCACATTTTAAGTTCACTTCCAATCTTTCCCTTCTCCTCCTTCTACACATGAGGGGCAGCAACCGTGACAAGCCACAAAGAGAAGGAAGAAACAAAACCCACATTGCTAGAGGAAGTTTAAAGGCTCTCTGACATGAACTGCTAGGACAGGAAAGTCATGCTATGTGTCAAGTGTTTCACAGAAACAGATTTCCCCAGATACCTGCCATCAGAGAAACCATGCAGGCAGTGGGGTTGAAGAGGAACGGAAAGCTCTCCCGACACTGACACTGAGGCATGGCTGAGAAAATGTTTAACGCTCCAGCAGCGAATTACATCTGAAAGGTGCCAGGTTCCTGTGATGGATAATGCACTGCTTGCTTCCTCGGGGAGCTGCAAGTGCTAACTCCACCGAGAGCTTGGGGAGAGGGTTCAAAAGGATACAGCAGCTCAAAGAGAAAAAAATTACTCCCACTAGAAGGAAGAACTGTTTGAAGAATGGTAGGGAGGGGCAAATAAGCCCTGGATAGTTTGCTATTTGCTAGAACAGGTCTGTGCTCTCTGCACAGCCAAAACACAGCAAGGCATCCCACCCCTCACCACCAAAGGAGATGAATTCAGCTCCCTACAAAGCATTCCTGGCTTCAGGAAAAATGCCCAACTTTTGTATTTCAGAAGGAGGTGGGGGAAGTGAAGTTGAGCTGAGAGAGGTTATGGAACATCAGGAAAAATGAAAAAACCCTCAAATTCTGAGGGAGGAAAGAAAAACCCAACAGCAACCGTTCTGATGGAGGGGAGACTGAGGCAGCGAGGTTAAAATGTTGCCAGGCAGGCCAAGGGGAACGATTAACCACAGTCCTGCAAAATATTGAAAAAAAATCAACTGTGCAAACCCTTACTGAAAAATGCATCTCCTTCCCCAGTCCAGCAGATTAAAAGGCCACCAAGCCTTTGTCACGATGAACGAATTACAATTTAAAAGCAACTAAAGGTCAGTTGGCACCCAAGCTCTGGGCTGGAGGCGTTCTCAGTGCTGACAGCCTGCGGACTGAGCAGTGCACAACCTGCTTTAACAGCATGTCATCCAAGATAACAAATCTTCACCAGCTTGGAAAAATACAGGCAGCTTCTTCCACAGGCTGCTGCCCACCTCATGCTGCAATGTACCTCCTTTCCCGCAGGACCACCAACACCCTGCTGTAGAAATGTGGGTATTTTAAAAAACAGGAAATCCATGGCAGCTGATTTCCATCTGTTCTGGCCGTAAGAACACCGGGCTCCCCAGGAAGGGAGCAGTTTTCCCCTAAGCTAACAGGCTGTCCCAGAGCAAGCTGCAGGAAAGCCATCATGCCAGAAAGACCCCCAGTACCAACCAGCAAACCAAACCACGCACCGGGCTCATGCCGCCCGGCAGACTTTGCAGGTCTGGCAGCATTCCCGACCTCCATGGATTTGGGTGGTGGGGAAAAGAATGAGACTCTGGCATCTGGCAGTTCACCAGATGTTTAACAATATTCCATAAGAATTAATTAACCAGACACTCTTCTTGCAACAAGCCACCCTACTGATTTTCTGCCACAGCTACGGGGGTTTGTGGCCAAGAGAAATGGGAAAGATCAGGGTTAAAATCATCCCTGGCCAGAGGCAGGGACAGGACTTTCAGTTCAGCAAATGGGCTTTCCTTCTCTTTTTTTCATAATTTTAAACGCAATATTCCAACAGATGGGCATATTTCACACAAAAATGAACATAAGGCCCTTCCTCCCCTGCCTGGGCTGTGCAGAGGACAAACATTCATTTCCTTCTCCATGAATGAACAGATGGAAAAGTGACAGCAGTGGAACAAGAGCACGATGTCCATGATCGAAGCACCATGGATGCACATGTGAGGACACGCAATGATCCTTTCTTTGCTCTGGATTTCTTTGCACCGCCACGTGCCCCAGAGCCAGTGCAGGCAGTGGAGGCCGCCGCTTTGCTGACCCTACAGAAGGGGTCAGTCCAGATCCCTTCCCACTGGGAAAACTGGAAGCGGTCGCAGGCAGAGCTCCTTCCCCTGTGCAACCCGAGGGGAAGGCACAGCTCGCTCTTCCTCCACGTGGACTATGGGGGAAAGCATCCACATCTCAAAGAGAGTGCCTGCTCAATCCAGTGCCTGGCAGCAGACAGGATACTGGAATATAAAAAGGAATTCCTTTCCTTGGATAAAACAGGCTCTTCAATATGCTTCAGCACACTGCCTGCTCATGGGGCCAGAGCAGGAACAGCGATGCCCAGATGGGAGAGGATGAAGTTATGATACAGACCATTTGGTAAAGGAGGCTTGAAATTAGCCTGATGGGGGAAAAAAAAAAATCCTAAGTCAGTCTTTCGAGATTTTCTTCAGAATTTCCAGTCTTGCTGAAGACACAACGAAAACGGCTGGTGTCCTGTTATCCCTGTTTGCTACTGAATGGCTAAGGAGCACCTCTCCTACAAGGGGATGTGGGACAGACATCTGGCTGTGATTTACAGCTGCAATGTCCAGTCCACAGCATGGAAATCAACTCCAAAAGCCAGAGAAAGAGCAGGGAAACTATGAATGCCTGCCAGGCACTGCTGAGGGCACCTACTGCCGAGCAAAACAGCCCTGCATGGTGCTCCAGACATGGGGTCAAAAGAAGCTTGCAGCCAGAGCTGAGCTCCCCAGCCCCAGGTCAGCAGCTCTGGCCCTGCAAGCCCAGGGAAGACAAGAGCTTGCATTTGCTCCCAGCTGGATACCTCACTCCCTGGTGCTGGGGACTGGGCTTCCGCAGCATCTGCCTCACCCTCTGCGTCCTTCTCCAGCCTGCAAAGCAGGACTAATGCACAAGAGAGATTTTCTTACAGCAAGAATCGCGTAGGTTCCCAGCAGGACTGCTGTGCCCTGCTGTTCTCTTTTTGAGGAACTCAGCCTTTAAAAAATGCAGAAGTCCTTGGAGGTCCTGAGTGTTTGGACATACCACACTAGCACAAGCTGCCAGCAAGAACCACACCCAGTGACGTGCTGCCTTTGATATTTCTCATGAATACAGTACAGGCTTATGAAAAATAGATACTTGATTCTATCACTCCTTCATCACCAATGTCTTGCTGAAGATGACAGAAGTGAGGAAATTAAAGGTGTCATGTCATAACTTGCTCCCTCCTGAATCGCACACCGCCTCGGCAGAGGTAGGCTCAGCTCATGCCCTTTTCCTTTTTCTTCAGCTTTGGAAACAGCTCTGGGTTCTCCACAAGCCATTTTTCTTGCATTTCTGAAACACAGAGGTTTGAAATCTTTCATTTTAGGTGTAGCAGGGCCTGATGAACAGGGGATACAGCTCAGCAAGTGTCTAAATATACACCCCCAACAGGCAAAGAAGCTTGGGGCAACTAAAAATAGTAGATGCAATTTTGACGACTGACAAGTGAAGAAAGAAACGTGATGCAGAGTAAATATTCAAAGGGATGTGGTTTGGAGAGGAGTGTTATCTGAAAGGCAGCAAAATATGTCATTTCTCTCTGGGAGGCTGCTTGTTTCAAGAGAGCATCAGCCCGAGCTCTCGACGTAGAGGATGTAACTACAGCCACAGCCACATGC